ACTCTACCACTTGCATCACAGTGCCACTTCCAGCCTTTTCTGTTTATGTGGTGCTAAGGAATTGAACCCAGGGCCTCATGCACGTGAGGCAAACACTCTACCGCTGAGCCACCTTCCCAGCCCCTCCCCTCATTTTTCTTTCTTGGTATTTAAGCACTGAACTCACAAACTCATATATAGTAGGCAGTCACTTTACCTTAGCAACACTCCCAGCCCCCTAATCTGTGTTTAAAAGTGGTACGTGGTGGCCCATGCTTGTGATCCCAGTTACTTGAGAGGCAGAGGCAGAAAGCTGGCCAGTTTGAGGCCAACCAGGGTAAAGTTGGTAAGACCTTGTCTTAAAAACACACAAAAGAAAGATAAAGAAAAACCCAGCTGGGTGCTGGTGGCTCACGCCTGTAATCCTAGCTACTCAGGAGGCTGAGATCTGAGGATCGCGGTTCAAAGCCAACCCGGGCAGGAGAAACCGTGAGACTCCTATCTCCAATAAACCACCAGAAAACCGGAAGTGGCACTGTAGCTCAAGTGGTAGAGCGCTCGCCTTGAGCTGAAGAGCTGAGGGACAGCGCCCAGGCCCAGAGTTCAAGCCCCACGACCGACAAAAAAAAAGAAAAACCCAATGGCTGGGGGTTGCAGCTCAGTGGTAGAGCTTCTGCCTAGCATGTATCTATGAGGCTTGGGCTTAGTCCCAGTACTGAAGAAAAAAAAAGGAAAACTACCTTCCAAGCTATCTCTCTCTCTCTCTCTCTCTCTCTCTCTCTCTCTCTATGGGAACATACATTTGTGGTGGAACTGGAAGGTACATCCATTTTCCCATGGCTCTAGCAAGACTCACGAGAGCCTCTTTTCCCGTCCACTGGTTTGCTCTCAGCTTTGTCTTATGCTTGGCAAACTGGTATTTCCATATGCAGAGAATGCTTAGGCAAAGTTAGATTTCGATCTGCACATTTTGAGTATGTATTTTACCAAGTGTTTGTATTGTCTTCAGCTTGTGCATGTGAAGTAAGCACACAACTCTAACCTAGCTTAAGCTAAGAAACAACGAAAGTCCCTTTACTCTGGTTTGCCAGGCAGACAGCTGTGTATCAAAAGAACAACAGAAGGCATGAAAAATATTGGACATGGAGAATGAAGCTCTAGGTGTGACCTGCAATAGGAACTGTTCTCTGGGAGAGCTTTCTGAAGGCAGCAGTTTGTGCAACAAGTCTTAGAAAATGAAAAGAATACACTTAGAAATCATTTATATATATATTCCCACAAAAATATTATTTTTAAAACTCATTGGTACATTGTGGCTTATCCTTTCAGAATCCTGCAACTGTTAAATAAAAAGCCATTCAAGAGTCCACAGGTAACAAACCAAGGTCCTCCGGGGCAACTTATCCAACCATCTTTGTCTTCCAATTATTGCCATGTGACTGTATTGGTTTTGTTTTGTTTTGTTTTTTTTTTTTGGTCAGTCATGGGGCCTGAACTCTGGGCCTGGGCGCTGTCCCTCAGCTCTTCAGCTCAAGGCTAGCACTCTACCACTTGAGTGTCAGCCCCACTTCCGGCTTTTTCTGCTTATGTGGTACTGAGGAATTGAACCCAGGGCCTCATGCATGCAAGTCAAGCATGCTACCACTGAGCCACCTTCCCAGCCCCTGCCATGTGACTGTAATGCATGCATCAGCTCAGGCATGATTGGCAGGAAAACCATCCATCAACCCACAGAATCTAGAGAAATAATAAACTGTCATTTTAAGACAATAGAGAATGAATAGAGGGGGCCTGGGTATAGTAGGGCATGCCTATAGTTCCAGCTACTGGAGAGATAAAACTAAAAGTATAGCAATTAGAAACCAACCCAGCAGAAAAGCAATCTGAAAAACCTAAGAGCAAATGGATTGAGTACATGACTGAAGTATTTAGAGCACTTGCTTAGCAACTCAAGACCCTGATATCAATCCTTAGTGTTGCCCCCTACACACACACACACACACACACACACACACATGCACGCACGCACGCACATATGCACACACGAATGTATAGAGTCTACTTAGTGGAGTAGGAAAGGATAAACAAGTTTTGAGCAGGTGCACAAAGGGACTTGGTCCTTGATGCCTGTATTTCTGTGTCAGGTCAGAGCTGTTGGTCCAGATGACTTTAGTTTTAGATAGGTTGAATCTTACTGTGTCTTTAGAATAACAAGGCTTCAGATCAGAGCTCAGGAAAGTGGTGGAAGTGGAAAAAGATTTGAGATTGGTGTGGCTCACTCATAGAGCACGTGCTCAGCATGTACGAAACTGTTTTCCATTTCCAGCACAAAAGAGGGAGAATTAAAAATAGGACAAAACAAGCTGGGCAGCAGTGGCTCAAGCCTCTAATTCTAGCTACTCAAGAGGCTGAGATCTGAGGATCACAGGGGAGGAAAGTCCGTGAGACTCTTATCTCCAATTAACCACCAGAAAACTGGAAGTGGCGTTATGGCTCAAGTGGTAGACTCCTAGCCTTGAGCTGAAGAGCTGAGGGACAGTGCCAAGGTCTAGAGTTCAAACCCCATGACCTACCCCCGCCCCCCCCCCCAAAAAAAAGTCCTTCAAAGCCAATCAACAGATCTAGGAAGGGACAGATAACCTGTTGACTTAAGAAAATGGAACATCTAACCTAGGTGACACGTATTGATTTGGCACAGATCCTTCAATAGCTCCCTGATGGTCCCAGATGGTAGTGTGTATATATGTTGGTGCTCTAGTGCCTTTGTTTTCCCTACTTTGAGATAAGATACCAATCTTATATTTGAATGCCTGAGTGGATCATGTGTATTTGTTCGTGGCTTTTAAATTGGGTAGGGGGTCTCAGGACCCCTAGGGTTGAAATGTAACTTTTGACTCTTTTGCTAAGTGTTTTTTTTGGGATCCTCCTGACACTGCCTCCAGAGTGCTGGGATTACAGGTGTACCACCATGCCAGACTTGCTAAATACACTTGTGTATGTATGTGAATGTGTGTGTACACATGTGTGCATGTTGATTTTGGGGCCTGATGTCAGGACCTCTGCACTATACCTAAGCTTTTTGCTTAATTAGAGAAAAGGTTTGCATAGACTTTCTTGCTTGGGCTGGAATTAAAATTGCAATTCTCAGATCTCAGCCTCTTGGGTGGCTAGGATTATAAAGTTGTGAGCCCCTGGCATCCAGTTTAAATGCATTTTTGAGAGACTTCCTAGATAATTTCTCAGGTAGGAGTAATACTCATTGAACTGCTTTTCCCCACTTCCACAGAACTTCTACCTGAGAGAGATAGACAAACACAGACAGACAGGTAGATAGAAAAAAAAGTGTTCAGTTTTTAGAACTGGAGCTGTAGCTCCAGTAGTAGAACACCAGCTTTTTGTGAAAAAGCTAAGTGAGAACAGAAAGTCCCGAGTGCAACCCCCAGTACTGGCACACACATTAAAAAAGAAAGAGGGTGACACTATTAAAAAAAACAACAAACTTATGCAACCGTAACCTCTCTGTACATCATCTTTACTATTATATCCCAGATCCAAAAGAGACTCCAAAACACCCAGTTAAAGGAGCTAGGAACTTTATTACAACTGCATGGGGTCCACTTCCTACTACCGTGAAAGTAGGAGAACAGCCTTGTGCTCAGGGTAGGGTGGGTTTTTATAAGGGTAAGTTACGTAAGGAGTTACATAGACGAGCCATGCAAGGCAGGTTTGGCACATTTTCATTGCTTATGGTTATATGACCTTTAAATTCATTTGTTCTTTATGATAAATATCATACAAACTAATTTGCAATAGGTTATCCATAGTGGGACCACTCGGTGGTGGTCTTCAATTGGAAGACAGTGGTGATGTCACCTGTGGGCGTAAGGCCTTGCTACTGAGCCAAGCGAGCAAGGTTACAGAAGCAAAACATAGCCTTGAGTCACAAGAGCAAAGGCAAAACATAATCTTGACTTGGTCAGCAATACTATCGATGCTATGGACACTATTACAGAAATTATTTTTATTATAAACTCCTGATTAATACAGCAACTCAGTGTAGCTGGTGATAAACCTCAAGGTTGTCAGTAGCTTTCTGTAAAGCTCCCAGCTTGGTAAACTTGAGTGAGGGAGAAATGTTCTTTTGCTTTTTTAGCAAGGATGAAAAAGAGTTAAAGGCTGACTAGTCAGCTTTTGTCTGGGGTTTTTCTTTACCAAGAGGTTTTGCTCTTTATCAATAATTTTGTCCTGTTTTCTGATTTTACATTTTTCTTCCCTTGGATAGTCTTCTTTTCTAAGGGAAAAGGGGGTTCAGGGGAAAGAGTAAATTTCCAACAGCAGGAAGGACTAAGGCCAGACAATAGAAGGAACTTTCTGCTAGTGAATAGCAACTCAAGTACTACATTTACAATGCAACTAAATAATTTTTTAAAAAGCGTTGTCTTGATATACCTCACCAAACTCTCCTGGCAGTTCTTGGATAAAATTGCTATCCTATTGAAGGTGATTAGAAAAGTAGCTACATTTATTGCGTGTTTATTATGTGTGAGGCACTGAGCGGATTGATTTTCGAATATCAACCCATTCCCTTCTCATAGGAACATTGGACAGTTTGAACTGTAATGGGTGGAAAACTGAAGCTCAAAGAGAGAGATGTGGTGTCCTAGGACATTTGGCATTTGAATCAAGATCCTTCTGACATAGGCGCTCATCATTCATTTCTGGATGAACGGAGGGGACTTTTCTCCGTGGAAGTAGGGGAGAAAGATTTGCCCGAAAACTCTGTAATGTTGATTTCCTAATGTCGACTCACACAGAATCCCAGGTCGGGGGTATCCATCTCTAACATGGGCCTTTCCAGGCGCCTGACGCGCGGTGCGCAGGCGCACCTCTTCCGTCCGGCCCCGCCCCCTGGGAGGGCGCTGCGCCTCACGCTCAGCTCTGGGGCTTGCGCATTGCCTCCCTAGCCGGAGGCTCCTTCCCGGCCGGGGACTTCCGGTGCGCCGAGGTGCGGTTCCGGGTCGTGGTGCGGCTGTGGGGAGCAGGGCTGTTGCTTGGCGGGCCGGCGGCGGCGGGCGACTGGGGGCGTGAGGGCAAGCCCGGGGAGCGGCAGCTGAGTGGGCCGGTAGGAGCACCGGTTTCCTAAGGATCCCGAGAGTGCAGAGTTCGGGACAGGGTCCCGGGAGGCGTGGGAAAGCCGCGGCCTCCCCTCAGGAGCGTGTGTGGGCCGGCCGGGCCCGTGTAGTGTGGGAGACAGCTTCAGGTAAAGCGTGCCCCGGCCGCTAGCTGCTGTCCCGGCCCGCAGGCCAGCCCGTCCTCCCGCGCGCGGCCTGGGCGGCCCCCTCCCTCCTCAGCTCTCGGCGCTGTCTGTCAGGCCCTTGTCCAGGCGGCTTGGGAGCATCCGTTTCCTGGCCTTTTCCAGAACCGGAGGCTGCCCTGAGCCTGACAGCTGGGTGTGCGATTTAGGTGAGGAGATGCTAGCGGACCCGGCCGTGTCGGGGTGCGTGTGTGTGTGTGTGGGGGGGGGGTGGAGAGGGTACGGAGTCTGCTCTGGTAATTTCAGGCCCTGAATCCAGGACACTATCTCCGTGCCCTGTCCTCATAATGTGAAAGCAAGTTTCCAAAGCATTGCCCGTGTAGCCCCCCTTTTCCTGGAGTCCATTCTCCCCACCGGGCAAAGGGGAGCAGGGAGGCAGAGCCTCGCAGACTGCCTTCGGTCACCTAGAGTGCTGCTGTAACTTTGATTCTGGGTTTTGTTTGTTTATAGGCATGGCAAAGGAATGCTTTAAGGTCTTGAAGTAAAAAGATTGTAGTTTGAAGAATATCACTGTAGAGTTCCACAAGTTGAGTTGGAAATTGACCAGAACTTTGCTTCTGAAGCAATCAATGAAGTAGATCGCAGTATCTGACATTGGGCAAAACACCCTGTCGTTAGAACCGCCATCAGCAACGTTCAAAACTCTCCTCAGGTTTGAACAGTCACATGGAGAGACACATCAGTTAAAAAAAAAAATCCTCTCCCTGTTTTGACCCTGTTTTGAAAAGCAGAAAGGCGGATCCCTAATGTTAAAACCCTAGTAGAGCTGGAAGAGACACTGTCGGTGTAGTTCAGTATAAAGAGTTCTTGTTCAACTGGGGTTTGAACTCAGGACCTGGGTGCTGTCCCTTAGCTTTTTCTACTCATAGCTAGTCACTCCACTATTTCTGGCTTTTTGCTGGTTAATTTGAAATGAATTTCAAGGACTTTACTGCCTGGGCTAGTTTCGAACAGCTAAACTGACTCAGCCTGAACTACCCAGCCTCCTGAGTGGCTAGATTACAGGTTTGAGCCACCGGCGCTGCGGGTATGAGGTGATCATTGTTTCCACCTCTTCCAATTTGCACACCTACAAACTTCCTGAGGTCCGTGCATGCTGGTGGCCCCTCTCCCATTCAGCTGTGTGCTGATACCTACTATGTATGTGAAATTGCACTCATTTCTCTGTTTCTTCCCTGGCCCTTTACTGTCTTTCCACTTAGGCTTAAAACGATCCCCACTGTGACCCATTATTCCATATAAGGATCGCTAATCATATTGATTCTAACTCCTCCCCCCCACCCCCTAGTCCTTTTTTTTTTTTTTTTGTCAGTCTTGGGGCCTGGTCACGGACCCTGAGCTCTTTCTTGCTCAAGGCTAGCGTTCTACCACAGTTGAGTCAGTTTCACTTGTTTTTCCTGGTGGTTAATTGGAGATAAGAGTCTCATGGACTTTGCTGTTGGGGTTGGCTTTGAACAGCAATTTTCAGATTTCAGCCTGCTGAGTAGCTAGGATTGCGGGCATGACCAACCGGTGACAGCTTAGCCCGTTGGTCTTGATAGGGCCTCCTTCCTGCTCTTGCCTAGAAGTGCTCTTTCTTGGTCCATTGGTTTTGATAGGACCTCTCCCTGCCCCTTCCCAGAATCCCCACCCCTCCTTCTCTCTCCTCTTCCCAGTAGTGGGGTTTAATTTCAGAGCCTCTCAAACTTTTTTTTGCTAGTTAATTGAAGAGTTATAGAGTTTTCTGCTCAGTCTGATTTGGAACTATGATCCTCGGATCTCAGCCTCCTGAGTAGACAGGCACCCAGGTCCTGCCTAGAAGCTTGATGGGTTACCCAAATGAAAGTGGGGGTTTTTGAAACTAACATGGGACAAACCTGGCTGGAAATGATTTCTTTCTTACCTAGAATCTTGTAAACACTCATTATTTATAGTTATTTTACTTAGCAAATATTTACTGAGTGTGGATACATGCCAGATACCCATACTAGGACATTTACAGGTAAATAAGACTCATTCTTTGTGCACAGGAGCTCAGTTTAGAGAGAGGGAAGCTAGTTATTGCAACACAATGGAATAAACATGCTCTGTGAACAGAGTTCTTTGTGTGATATAGTGAAGTGAGAAATAGCCAGGGAATGCTTCATAATGTGAGATAAGCTAAACTTTATTGAGTTTCTCGTGTTTAATCATTTGAACTTCAAATTTCAGATTAGGAAGAATAAATTTACACAGCTGGTAGACACAGAGCCAGGATTCAAACCTAGGTCTGGGCATCTACCAGAGCATTACAAGTCAGGATATAGTAAAGATACTTGTACAAGCCTAGGTCTGCCTGCTGCCTTAATCTTTGCTTAAATTTTAAAAAAGTTTCCCATCTTGTCTTCTTTCTCACACTATGACTATCTTTATACAAAAACATATTGAAAGGTCTGTATACAGGAAAACTATGGACGTTAAAGTGAATAGTATAGACATCTTTCAGGGAGAGCTGGATACGATGGTGTATGTCTATAGTCCCAGCTATTTTAGAGCTCAAGACAATAGATTTCTTGGGTCTAGTTGAGGCTAGCCTCAACTGGGTAGCTGGGTGGATGGGCTGAGCTCTTGAGTATCAGCAGCAAAAATAGTTTCTGGAGAACAAGCATAGACTCTGGATTCGATTGGTGGTCCTTCTCTTACTGGATATATGACTTTTGGCAAGCTGTTTAACTCTACCATTGTTTTCCTCAGCTGTGAGATAGGATGGGACAGGATGACCTCTCTGAGTGCTATGAATATTTAATGAGGGATATTTAATATGGATAAAAGACGTGATACAATTTGAGTAATCTGAAAAGCTGTAAATCTAAACCTTTTGAGCAGGAGCTTTAGAGTTTTGGAGCATTTCAGATTTTGGGTTTTTGCATTAGCAATGCTCAGCTAGTAAAGTCTATGCAAATATCCCCAAATTCCCCCCCCCCCCAAAAAAAAACAAACAAACAAAGAATTGAAACCTAAAAACATTTATCATCTTTAAGCTTTGTTTTGTAAGGTCCCTAAATTGATGATGGCCTTAAGATCCACTGATATAATGCTGTGACATGATGTTAGAACTGTGAATGAGTTTCTGGCATGAGTAAAGAGAGAAAAATAGCAACACTTTTTTCTTTTTTTAAAAAAATATTTTTTATTGTAAAGATACTGTACAGAGGGGTTACAGTTACATGAGTACACTGTTACTCCCTTCTTTGTTTTCCCCCTACTATCCTTCCCTCACCACCTTCCCAACTCCCCCTCCCCCCACTTTTTTTCTTAAAGTTAGAGATTTTTATTGAAGTTAGCATTCTATGGGGCTATATCCAAAGACATTCTAGGCATTACTTCCTATAGCCATTACTTTTAGCAGGTGACAAAGAGGTAAAGTTGGAGGGGCCGGAGGGGTCAGAGTAAGCCAGCCTGAGTGCCTGGCAAGAGAGGTCTATTCTAGTTTACAGTTAATGAATACTTTGAAGATCTGTGATTCATTGAGTAGTTACAGGTAAAACGTTAGTCCTTGGGGATACAAAGAACAATAAACTGTGGTTCAGACCCTGAAGTTGTTGACATTCCAGTGGGGGAGGGGTGTGTGTGTGTGTGTGTGTGTGTGTGTGTGTGTGTGTGTGTGTGAACTAAGAAGCATGGTACAAGCCCCCACAGAGTGCTGTGGAGCTCAGATAAGGAACATCACATGGTGATTATTAGTACTTAACTCTGTGCTGGCATTGTCCTTATACTTCACCTCATTTATTCCTGTGTGGGAAGGTATTATTAGCATCCTGGTTTCACAGATGAGGAAAGTAGGACACAAAAAACTTAAATATATTTCCTTGAGGGTTGGGGATACATTCCCTCACTGAGAGAGTGCATGCTTAGTATGTTCAAGGCTCTGAGTGGAGTCCTCAACACTGAAAAGTTCAAAAGAAAAGAAGAGTCTAGCTGGTAGATATGAACTATGAGGATTGTGTGCCTGATTTTGCTCTATAGACTGCATCATATTGCTTGCTCTTGTGATATGGATGGGGGCCCTTTTGACCTGCTTCTGAGAATTGTTGCTCTGGCCTTTGAGGTGTCACCAGTCACTACTGGGTGTTAGGGAGAATGAGGAATGAGGTGCCTCTGCACTGACTTTGCTCATCTGTGTCACTTTACATACCTGTCTTGCCTTTTGGTGGAGGGTTTGTTTTGCTTGTTAACTGAACACTTTGGAAATTTGCACTTGAGTGGATTTATCTGTTACAGGATGAGAGAATTTGCTAGAAATTGGTTATTCTGATGTATAGTCTTATTGTTAAGGACATCAGGGATATCAGGTTGTCCTAGGACAGGAAATTCTGTCACATTACATATTTTCTCTCCTCATCAAAGGTTCCCTGACCTTGTATTTTCTGCCAGTTTGAAATTTTTGAGAAGTTTTGACTCAGAAGTTAGTACATTTAAGCTTGTGTAGAACTTAAAAATGATGGAGTGCTTCTACTTCAGTCATTGTTGAATGCCTTTGCACACTTTTCTCCTTTAATCTTCATTCTGTAAGTTAGGTGGTTTTATCTGCATTTGATTCAGTAGCCTGAGGCTTGGGGGTAAGGTATAATTAACTCAGTTGTCTGTTGAGCATCTCCCTCAGTGGTCTCCAAGTCACGTGCCATTGTGTACTAGGATGGGCCTTGGAGAACTGGAGGCTTATGCCAAATGGAAAGGTGGCAGGTACTTAGGTCTAGTTGCTTGTTGCCATGTAATGAAGTAGGCCCAGTGTCCCAGATCTTATGTGTTTTTGTTTTGAAAAATTGTGGAAATCTGGATTTTAATGTATTGAGTATAAAAATATTCCATTTAAATAATTTATTATGTGGATCAGAACCACATTTGTGGATTGTGTACAGTACTTGGCTGTCTGATTATAAACTCTAATCTACCTGCCTGTTGAAATTTTCTACCCAAAATTCAAAGCAGGAGGTAAAATACAATGGTGTGTGTGTGTGTGTGTGTGTGTGTGTGTGTGTGTGTGTGTGTGTGTGTGTGTGTGTGTGTGTGTGTGTGTGTGTTTCTAATACTGATGCTTGATCTCAGGGTCTTATGCTTGTGAACAAAATGTTTGTCTTGTTTTTCTCATAGCTGGCACTATACTACCTGAGACACACCTCTTTTTCTGGTT